CACATGTGTTGACCTTGAATCTGGTGGTGGTAGGCAAGGTCAGTTTTCAGATGTAAAGAATCTTTCCCGTATTCTGAAATATGAAAATATATTTAGAATTTATGTAAACTAAGGTAAATTTTTTACAGATAAATTTCGCCAAGTAGTCGGTGATAGCCCAAAGGAGCACTGGAGTAATAAACCTTTTTATAATATTATAAACAATAACATGTACCTAAGTATAAGTCTTTCAGATAATGGACTGCATCTTCAGCTGTTAATAATGCAGCAGAGTAGGTACACTTGACTTGCACAAACTTGGAAATTGCTGTCCTAGCATACAGAGTCTGGTAAGATACTTCACAGAGAGGGGGATGCAGAACTAAATTATGTGAAACACCTTAAGCACCCAATCAATCCATCAAGCCAAATTCCTGAAAAGTAAACCAAAATATTTCAATCACTGAAAACTAAAACCATGCCCATAGTACATGAATGCCCTGCCAAGTGTTCAATGTAATGCAACATGAAAAGAAATGTGCTTTGCTTCTTTGTTAAAGATGAGGTAAATGAGAGATATTGAGGTCAAGGTCACAGTGAAAGTAATACCTATTGTGGCCCCGCCCTATCCCGAGGGTCATGATTTGAACAATTTAGAATCTACACTACTTGAGGATGCTTCCACATAAGATTCAGCTTTTCTGGCCCAGTAGTTCTTGAGAAGAAGATTTTTAAAGATTTTTCTTACATATTTCAATGTAAAACTTGGATTCCCTATTGTGGCCCCACCCTACCCCCTGGGGTCATGATTTGAACAATTTAGAATCTACACTACCTGAGGATGCTTCCACATAAGTTTCAGCTTTAGTGGCCCAGTGGCCCAGTGGTTCTTGAGAAGAAGATTTTTAAAGATTTTTCCTATATATTTCAATGTAAAACTTGGATTCCATATTGTGGCCCCACCCTATCCCTGGGGGTCATGATTTTAACAATTTAGAATCTACACTACCCCAGGATGCTTCCACATTAGTGTCAGCTTTTTTGGCCCAGTGGTTCTTGAGAAGAAGATTTTTTTAATGACCCCACCCTATTTTTGTCTTTTCGTGATTATCTCCCCTTGTAAGGGGACTTGGCCCTTTATTTTAACAATTTAAACCCCCCTTCATCCTTGGATACTTTGTACTAAGTTTGGTTAAAATTGGCCCAGTGGTTCTTGAGAAGATGTTGAAAATGTGAAAAGTTTACAGACGGACGGATGGACAGACAGACAGACGGATGGACAACGGGTGATCAGAAAAGCTCACTTGAGCTTTCAGCTCAGGTGAGGTAAAAACAGCTAGTCTGCAATTAATTAGTTTTTGCATAAAACAAAACAGTTTTATCTGATTAAATTCATTGATTTTTTCATAAACATTTAAATATATAACATTACACTAAAATTTAAATTTCATTGCATTAAGGACCCTCTATACACTAAAGGAAAAGATTTTTTGGAGACATTGAGAAAATAATTGTGTGAAGAGGTGTAAATGTTGAGCTTATCTATTACATGTTCAACATAGTTTACCTTGCATTTACCCCCAGGAAAAATGTTCAAAGACAATGAAGTACTGATGAACAAAAATCACTGTTGTTTACTTAAATGGGCAAAATACCAGCAAATTAAAGTGTTCAATCTATTCATCTTAGCCTATTAAAATGTTATAAATGCTTTATTTGATCACAAATTAAGAAATAAACTGTACACGTCAATTTATCTTATTCTAGATCAAAGGGCAGATTACTCTATCTGCATAAAAATACCACAAATCAGAACTCTTTAGTGTGCAGTGTATAGAGGGCTCTTAAATTGTTTGTACATGGCTACACATACTTTTTCTATACAAGTTCAGACACCCATTTGCAGATGTGCACATGCATTACCTTTTTCACTTAAAATTAAGCACAGCTTCAAAGTTGGAGACAGTTATCCTTTGTGTCCTCATGACTTCCCCCATAAGATTTGTTCAATACCCTTTTGGTGCCTCTGTAGTATTTGGACAGAATCATTGCATAGCATAACCAGACAAATGGAGCATCTGCTTCAGTAAATTTCACACAAGTCAAGGACCCTCTGTCATAGGAGCAAGAAGGATCTGGTGCTCATGTGACTCTGGCTGCTGAATCCAATCCATAGCTGAAAATATTAAAAACATTTAGTTGATGATGCCAATTAATATTTTAACTCTATAACCTGTGGTTCATAATTTTAAAAAAGTATTAAAAATTGGGAATGTTTGCTAATTAATGGTTCTAATGTGTTACTTTTCATTCAAAAAAAAAAATCTTACATAGTTCCATGCAAAACTTTGATCCCCCGTTATGGACCAACCCTACCCCTAGAGGCAACAAGTTATTAATTTAAAACAGATTAGAATCGATCTACACTACCTCAGGAAGCTTTCTATAAAGTTTCATTTTTTTTCCTAGTAAGTTGTTCAGTAGAAGAAGATTTTTAAAGACTTTTATCCCCAATTGAAAGGCCCCATCTTACCATCCAGGGGTCATGATTTGTACATTCAGAAATTTCAAAACCTCATCACAATACATGAGATGCTTAGTTACGCTTTCAGGTCAGGTGAGCTAAAAAAAAATCATTCATACAATGTTCCAAATTTTTAACAATAAACCTGACAAGTCTTGCCAGTATCTTTCTAAGGAAAATCCTGTACTTATTATCAAATGACATATCTAATGCTCTTTTATTTTAATTTAAAATATACAGAATAATATTATTAGAGTGTTTCAAAGAAGTGTAACCTTCCCTATATTGCATCATTAAAAGTGTAAATAATCTTAAGAGTGGTCAGCAATTTATTTCCTACTAGCATTATAGTTCTGCTAAGAAAAAAAAATCCATGAATAGTCAAGTGTGTAAGACTTTGATAGAAATATATGAGTATTTAAATTTCAATGTGTGTGGTAACTGTACATAATCCAGCAAGTGCAGTATCATGAGCTCATAAACAGGCATAAATGCTGATTAATTATCGATACCCTACCTCTCAAAACTCAAAAGGCATACATGTATGTTGAATTAAATGTCTGGAGTATTTTTTGCGAAGTAGGTCAAAGATCAAGGACATGTAGACTGTTCACATAATGTTGGTATTGACAACAATCAGTGCACATACTAAATAGCATAGACTTACCTCTTAAATATCAAAAGCCTAACCGGATACATTCATTATGAACTATTTAAAAAAAGTAGTCAAAGGTCACATTCAATGGTCTCAAAGTTTGTAACTATGGTATTTTACAAAAGTCATTGTGCGATGCAAATAATTTGTGCAAAATATCAAATCCAATGTGTGACAGACAGACACCGGGTAAAGTGATCCCTAAGTGTCCCTAAGTGTCACTCTGCTTTGCAGGTGAGACAAAAATAGCAAGGATAATTTGTTTGTTTGTTGAAAAGTGATTGAAGGATCCTTAAAAGTAGAAATTTTTGCTCATTAATGTACTGTAATTTTTACCTGTATTTTAAAGGACTTGTTGGACATAACTTATGCACCATGGTTTTTGTGTTCCTTCTCATTGATGTCTTCAGATTTTTAAGCCACATATGTTTTACATACACAGCATGCATTTATATCTGAAAATGAAAATCAAAATAAACTAGAGGTACTGTGAGCACTGAGCTCACAAAATGATACCCCCTGCCTCCCATGTTATTATAATGGCAAAGTCCATATTTTGCTATGGGAAACCTGAAATATGTGTCCGATTAAAAGTAAAATAGGGGTTGCAAAATGGCAATATATGTAACAAAGATTTTGTAAAAGTCTCATCAAATTTCATTCAGTGGTATAAGAGGAGATGCTGATAAGAAATGGGTACCCCAAAGTATATATATATTAATGGATGGTTGTACAGAAAGATGGACAGCTAGACAGACAGACAGATAGACGGACACCCCCATCATTAAACCTCCCCCCCCAACTTTTCAACCGGGGAGTATAATAATTATAATTAATTTCATTAAAACAAATTAGTACAGAATACACAAGAATGATTAACTGATTCCGTTAATTTATACAGTTTCCATTTTAACCTCTTAACTGATCGAGGAAAAAAAATCAAATTAATTTCACTTTACAACAGAAGTAGATGTTCATTTAAATTATAAGTACTGTTCATGTAAATCTTAATACATATTTTATAATTACCCATACAACAGAGGTGCAGAGGTTGTTTCAAAATGATGTCGTATGAAGTTATCCAATGGGCATTCACAGTACAAGCAGATACTGCGTAACTAGAGTTAACTGGAATAAAAAAAAATATAAAAATCATAGTGAAAATTTGGAAGTAAAGACCTGCCTTGATCCACCCACCTCTGGGGGGAGGGGGGGGGGGTAAAATAAATTAAGAAATGAATGTAATATTTTTTTGACCGAAGCATCAAAGAAAAATTTGGACAGAAAACGTCATCAATACGCGTAGGATGAAAAAGTTTTCCATCAAAATTTTTGTTTGATACTTCGGTCAAAGAAAAAATATTGGGCTACATTCATTTCTTCGATGAAAAAGTCATGGAAAAGTAAATTTACAATTTAAAAGGGTTAATCTAAAATGCGTAATCATGTACGCGTACAATCACTTTCTCATAAAAAAAATGTTTATGATCATGATGATTCCTTTTTTTTATCAAAAGTGCACTCCTATACGTACCTATACCTAAAGTGACTTTGTACAACTTTCTTTTCATCTACGCCTGGATGGACATGCAGAATTTCCTCGTTGTACAAAAACTTTAGGACATGTACACTGGTAACAGGATTCTCAGATTTGCGCAAAAGTTATCGATTTTATCAGTGTAAAATAAAGTTACAGACCCTACGCCCGGACTGAGGACTCTCCTTTTCACAGCGTTTCTACTTTCACTTTGGAGACCAATGAAAATGTCTTTACAAAAGTTATTGAAATTAAGTCGAATATTACCCACAATGCAATTATTGCATATACATCACAAGATTATAGAACATACATCACAAGATTTTGCATATACATCACAAGATTATTGAACATACATCACAAGATTATCGAATATACATCACAAGATTTTGAATAGACATAACAAGATATTGCACATACCTCACAAGATTATAGAACATACATCACAAGATTTTGAATAGACATAACAAGATTTTGCACATACATCACAAGATTATAAACATACATCACAAGATTTTGAATATACATCACAAGATATTGCACATACATCACAAGATTTTGAATATACATAACAAGATTTTGCACATACATCACAAGATTATAGAACATACATCACAAGATTTTGAATATACATCACAAGATATTGCACATACATCACAAGATTTTGAATATGCATCACAAGATTTTGAATATACATCACAAGATTTTGAACATACATCACAAGATTTTGAATATACATCACAAGATTTTGAACATACATCACAAGACTGTCGAATAAAGCAACGTTTTACACGCCATACAAATATACCTGTAACTTATTTATTTGTCAATAATACAATAAATATTAGTTATTAGAATAATTATGTTATTATAATATTGTACATGGCCAACCTTAACATAAAATAAAACAACAACAATAAAAAACTGTTCTAAAACCTTATAATATTACCGGAAAATTAAAAAAAAAAAAAGGAGAAGAAAAAACAGACTGCATGATATGAGTGACATGAAAAACTTCTATCCTGTGGATTTTAGAACGTGAATGGAAATAATCATGTAGGGAACTCAACATACAAGTACATTGTATATAGAGTGAATTGGAAATGCAATTAAAAAAATCTAAACAGCTCAGAAAACTCTTTTTTCTAATAAGGATTATATAATTTCTTAAATTTCTGTTTGAAAGTAAAAAAATAAAAATAAATAAATAAAAATAAAGACAACGTACAATTTTCGAGAAAGATAATATTAAATTTCAACAGGGCTTCTTTCCGAGTACTTCATGTGCTTAGCTGATGAAACTTTGTACATGGAAACCCATACATTCATCTTAAAAAGCAAAAGAAGCTGTTATACATTCTCCAGTCTCAGGATATACTGCAATGAGAGTTACTTCTGTCTGATTATATCTCATGAAACATTTAACACAGCGATCCGTAGAGGATGTTAAAGGAATAGGTACAAAAACGCTTCCAAGAATTTCACAGCTGTGTTCATCAACATATAAAATGTCCCGATCTTTTGTTTTACAAATCTTGAACCTAATATGTATTTGATTTGGATAAATGGGTATGTAAGTCACCTGTGAAACATCTGTTTCAGGGGAAAGTAAATCTCCACACCGAACATGTATACTAAAAATATCTACGCAGTAGTCTACTCCTCAAATAGTTTTTTTTTCTTCATAGGATTGTGGATGCTTGGATTGAATATTTGAAATGTGTCGACACCAAAAGTGTATTTAGATATCATGCGGTCCTCCATTGGTGTTTCTCCGGCCATTAAAACTGCTCCTTTAAGTGCAGCTAAGCTTGCGTCTTCTGCTACAACAATTAAAAATATTTATATATCTAATATACTTTTATCTATGGATTTAAAATTATTATTTTGTAAGAGTTTCCTTTCGGTTGAAATGCATTGGTCTTGTTACAAATTTTTAAATCAACGTCTTGCACGCTAGTACTCAATTCAGCAATTATTTAATCAGAGAGAGAGAGAGAGAGATTTCTTTGTAAAAAGGGTAACATTCAAATACATTCGAGAGAGAGAGAGAGAGAGAGAGATTTCTTCGTAAAAATGATAAAATTCAAATAAATTCAAATATTCGATACCTGGCTGATCTTCTTTTTGGCTGTCAAATAGCTCTTTCTTTTGGTGTCTCTTATCTGTTGTTTCCGTTGCTGGACTGTAAAAGTGATATATATAAGACAAGAATTAAAATAACAATCTGAAGTATTTACATGCGTGTTTAAAAAAAAGAGACTAGTGTAGTGCACTGTCATTTTCTTTCAAGCCCATAAAAATCTAAAATGTATGTTTCAGACTTTCACCAAAATTGAATATATATAACTGTCTTTACTTTTTTGTAATCGTTTTTTCCGATCACATTTGATTCCATATGAGGCATCCTGGAATTCCTTGTTTACTAAGCACTGACAATTCATTGATAATATTTCATGACATGTTAAGTACTAACGAGCATTATTCTGATGTTGTTAATTTCAGGTGCAAACGTTTATAAAGTTACAGGGCGAAAAAAAACTTAAATTTTTCTATACATGCGTAAGAATTCCATTCGTATAAGGGTGAAGTTATTCGTTCATTACTGTTTCGGAAAGCAACAAAACTATTCAAATCACATGGAATAAAAAAGAGTGCGACTTGTTTTTAGCATTGTGGACGTCCAGCATATTACTTTTTAATAAAGAAGTTTCAAACATCACCGATTTCAGTTTAGATGTATCTTGAATTTTACCGAAATGATGATTTTAAAAAAAGTGCTTGGTACATCACATAGCCATAACATAATCTACGTACTATCTCTAATAACAAAAAAATATCGATTGATTTTGTTCACGGTTCAGATTTCGTTTAGAGTTAAGCTGAAAACATTTATTTAGCATATTAGGTACAAGGTTGATTAAACAATTTTCTTAGCCTTTTTTTAGGGATATTCCTCAACATAATTGCTATTGTTATACCTTTTAAAAATTGTGTCCTACAGTGCAGGAAACTAATTTTGTTACAGCATCAATGCTGATTTGAATGCTTCCTTTGCTTGCTGATTTGAATGCTTCCTTTGCTTGCTGATTTAATGCTAGTAATCCTTATCCTGATGCTGTTTTATAATTAGGTCAATGCTACCGGAAGTAGATAATGAATTTCAGCATTGCCGTTTAAAGCAAAAAAAGTGCGTTTTACAATTATTTGATCATAATATCTCACTATGTATCAATAATGTGAATACTTTAACCAATATTCTTTCTTTCTTTTTTAATTTTTTACTGAATTAAAACTCATTGATTTTCTGATGCTAGTAGGATAACGCTGATTTTATGTAGGTCAATGCTGGTTTTATCCTTTGCTTGCTGATGCTGATCCTGTTAATGCTGTTTTTTAAATGCTGATGTTGTCGCTAGCTCGATCCTGATGCTACTAACGCTTATGCTGATGCTGGTTTATGTAACAAAATTAGTTCCCTGCACTGTATATAATTCTATACTACAAAAAGTCTAACATTTCCATGTTTTACTGAGCGGGCATAAAAATCGATGTTTGACCGCAGAGTGAAATGTTGGACCTGTCGATGAGATGGTAGACCGCTTACGTGCGGGTAAACGAAATTTACATCATGATATGTCAAAATAAACAGTAAAAGGTACAACAAAACATTTATTCGGCCTAACGGCCTCCAGCAAACAGTTTGGTTCTTAGGTCCAACAAAACACATGTTGCCCTCGAACCCAATCAATTAATGTATAATGCTGTTAATAAGAAAAGGTTGTTTACAAAATTGACTAGATGTGGAAGGGAGCAGAGTGCATACATGATTGCTAATCTTTATTTTTTAACTCCTTGCAACTTTAATTAATAACACTGTAA